TTGTTTATGTCCTTGGGGAGGGGTCCCACCACCCCGCCTTCCTGCAGCCTGACCCCTCTGGCCTGGCACCTTTGGGGTGCCTTGGTCTGCAGCCAGAGCCCTCCCTGCAATTTCCCCCTTTGCATGGGACAAACACTCTTCCCCCCCCCCCCCAAAAAAAGCCATTCATGAGGAGCAAAGGCCTGGAGGGAGGAAGTGCTTCTGGGTGCACTTACTCAGGAGTAAGAGAGAAACAACTGGATGCTGGGAACCCGAGTTCACATCAGCAGTTGCCACATCAATAAAACAGTCCCCCCCTTTTTTTCTCCCCCAGTTCCGCCTGCAAATGTGCTTGCTTGCCTTGGTTGCTCCTCCGGGTCCCAGCTACTTCCTCTGGGAAGCGAGGCCTGCTTTGGGGGGGGGGCTTCCCTCCCTGATTCTCTTCCCCCCCCAATAGGATTCCTGTGCAGGGAGAAAATTGGGGAGGGGGTGCTGGATCCTTGGAATGTCTTGCTTGTTTTGCATTGCCCGGGGCAGACTTTTGAATTTATTCCATCTGTTGGCAAATTCAGTCTTTTCCTGGCTGGAGGCAAAAAATTTTTTGCAAGGAAAGTGGTTTCTGATGAAAGCTTAGAAATGGCACATTTTGGGATTGGGGTGTGTCTTGATTGGAGAGGGGGGGGGGCTTTTCTGAACCCTCCCTCTTTTTCAGCAATGGTTAGGCTGGCCCTCTTTTTAAAGGCGGCTTTAACCCTGACCCACGGAGTGCTGGTTTTGGCTGGGCCTCCTGTGTCCTGCATTTTTTTAACACCCCCCCCCCTTCTGCCCCAATGCTCAGAGGAGCAGCTGCTCCTATTGTAGTTCTTTGCATAATGCAAGGAGGAAGAATAGAGGGAATGTGAAAATGAGCAGGAGGGGTGCTTGCAACACGTGGCATGGTGTGGAGAGGCCCCTTCCCCAACCTCGGATACACAGTAAGGAGGGGGCTGTTATACAGTGCTGGAAGGATCACCTTGGCTGACCAGGGACCTCCAGATGCCAAGCCTCAATTTGGGGGGGGCGAAAAAAATCGCCCCCAAAGTCCCTTCTGCCCCTTTGCATGTTGGGTGAACCCAGCCAACCCTGCTTAACACAAGTAGCCATGATTAAACCCAGCAAAGGCTGTTTTTCTTCTCTGCTTTGACACAGTGGAATAACCAAAGGCCGGGAACCGAGTTGGAAGGGACCTTGGAGGTCTCCTAGTCCAACCCCTTGTTCAAGCAGGAGATCCTGTACCATGTCAGACAAAACAGTTTCTTCGGGAAAACTTCCAGTGTTGGAGCACCCACAACCTCTGCAGACAATTTGTCAGTTCCACTGGTTAATTGTTCTGATGGTCAGGAAATTTCTCCTTAGTTCCAGGCTTGGTCTCTCCTTGATCAGTTTCCAGCCATCGATCAAGAGAGATCAAAACTAGAACTAAAGAGAAATTTCCTGACCGTGAGAACAATTAACCAGTGGAACAACCTGCCTCCAGAAGTGGTGGGTGCTCCATCACTGGAAGCTTTTAAGAAGAGATTGGACAGCCATTTGTCCGGAATAATATAGAGTCTCCTGCTTGAGCAGGGGGTTGGACTAGATGACCCCCAAGGTCCCTTCCAACTCTGTTCTTCTGTTATTCATTGGAAATGGCTCATGGCAAGCTTTATTCAGAGATGGGGCCCAGGTTGTTCTGTAACCCGCCTGGCTGGTGGTTAATCCTTCCTTCCTCCGTGCTGACAATTTCTGTTTCGGATAACCCACAGGCCCAGCCTTTTTAACAAGGCCATAGCTCGGGTAGGCAACCTTGGCTGTTTTATAACTCATGGACTTCAACTCCCAGAATTCCTGAGCCAGCTTGGCTCAGCTTGGAAACCTCTCCCTTTCCCCTCAGCATGGCTGGCTCAGGAATTCTGGGAGTTGAAGTCCACGAGTCATAAAAGAGCCAAGGTTGCCTACCCCTGGCCTAGGCCTAGGCCCCTTCATGACTCGTGGACTTCAACTCCCAGAATTCCTGAGCCAGCATGGCTCAGCTTGGAAACCTCTCCTTTTCCCCTCAGCGTGGCTGGCTCAGGAATTCTGGGAGTTGAAGTCCACCAGTCATAAAAGAGCCGAGGTGGACTATCCTTGCCATAGCTAAAAAAAAACTGGGTGGGTACAGTTCAGAAATGCAAATTAATTTGATTGATTTATTAAATTTGACAAACTCCGTCTCGCTCTGGCCCACGGACAAGGCCATGAATACAGAAATAAGACAATTGCAGTATGAACAAACAAACGTTAGAATGTTAGGCATGAAAAGTTAAAAACATGAATAGTCGGCTAAATACAATACGGGTGGTCCGTTGCTAAGCGAGACAGTTAAGTGAGTTTTCCCCCATTTTACGACTTTTCTCACCACAGTTGAGTGAACCACCGTTCTACTCAGTTAGTAACACGGTTGTAAAGTGAATCTGACTTTGCTTGTCAGAAGGGGATCACGTGACCCCGGGACACCGCGACCGTCATAAGTATGAGTCAGTTGCCAAGCGTCTGAATGTTGACCACGTGACCCTGGGGATGCTGCGACGGTCGTAAGTGTGAAAAACGGCCGTAAGGGGCTTTTTTCAGTGCTGCTGTAACTTTGAACGGTTGCTAAATGAACTATAAATACAAATTGTTTATTATCAGAGTCCTTGGCATTTTGGGCCAACCTGACCCAGCTCTCTTGGGCTTTGAGGAGGGAACCCCAAAACGGGACAGGGGGGGGGTTCCTTTTTAAGTCCTTCTCAAGTCCTGGCCTCCCAAGGCAGTTCAAGAGTTACACGAAGGATTTATTCTTCCATTAATCTGATTTATCTCCCATTATCTCATATTAGCCACAACTGAAGTCACCGCAAACCATCCCGTCAATTTTAAAGAGTCGCCTTCCTTGAAATATTTCCAGGGCTCCTAAAATGGCTGGGCGAGTTTGAGCAGAAAACACGTTGTTGGCTTTTGCTGACCGCAGGTTTTGAATTCGGATCTCAGCGGTAAACATTCAGAGCCTCCTGCTCAGGAAGACTCTAGCAGGAAACAGCTGAGGCAGAGTTTCCTGAGTTTGTTTTTAAAGAAGAAAAGACTCCATTTGCTAAGATAACATGCAGTTTTGATGTCTGGAGGTCTCAGGTGGACACAGTCCCTGTCGGTCTTTCTCTATCTTGGCAGCCAGAAGGTGGGTGGACTTCAACTCCCAGAATTCCCTCCGTCTTCAAGCTGAGAAACGTCCGTCTCGGCTGTTAGCTGGTAATAATAATAACCAGAACAGAGCTGGAAGGGGCCTTGGAGGTCTTCTAGTCCAACCCCCTGCTCCAGCAAGAGGCCCTATATCATTCCAGACCAATGGCTGTCCAATCTCTTCTTAAAAGCCTCCATTGTGGGAGCACCCACAACTTCTAGAGGCAAGCAGTTCCACTGGTTAATTCAGGAAATGTCTCCTTAGTTCCAGGCTGCTTCTCTCCTTGATGAGTTTCCGGTCCGTTGCTTCTTGTCCTGCCACCTTCTGGGGCTTTGGAGAATAAGTGGACCCCTCCTCTTCTTTGGGGCAGCCCCTCAAACACTGGAATAATTGGTCTCATGTCCCTCCTGGTCCGTCTTTTCTCTAGACTGGCCGTTCCCAAATCCTGCAGTCGTTCTTCATCCAACACTGGAAGTTTTTAAGAAAAAACTGGACAGCCATTTGTCCGAAATGGTATAGGGTTTCCTGCCTGAGCAGGGGGTTGGACTAGATGACCTCCAAGGTCCCTTCCAACTTTATCATTATCAATAGTATGTTTTGTCTCCAGGCCTTTGATCATCTTAGTTGCTTCTCTTTGCACTTTTTCCAAAGACTCCACTTGGAACAGTTGGCTTAGGGACCGTTCAGAATTAGAGCGACAAAAAAACTGACTTGTGATGGTTGCAGAATCCCTCATGATATTCTTATGCTTGACAACCGTTTCACTTTTATGACGGTCGCAGAGTCCCGGGGTGACGCGATCCCCTTTTGCGACTTTCTGGCAAACTCAGTCAATGGGGGGATGCTGGTTTCACTTTACGACTGTGTGACTGACTTCACAACCGCCGCGATTCGCTTAACAAGCGTGCCCAGAAGGGTCGTAAGCCGGGGCGAAACTCAGCGGAAATTTGGGGCTCCCTTGTGGTCGTAAGCCGACTACATTTACAGGGGCTTCGTTGGCAGGGGTTGTTAGGGGTTTCTGAGTTGGTAATTCGTGTTTGTGCTAAACATGATGAGAAGAGGAGGAGAAGAGGAGGAGGAGGCGGAGAAGAAGAAGAGGGGGAGGAGAGGAGAAGGAGAAGAGGGAGAAGGTGGAGAGGAGAGGGAGAAGGACGAGAAGAGGAGAGAAGGCGGAAGAGTAGAGGAGGAGCAGAGCGAGGAGAAGAGGGGGGAGGAGGAGGAGAGGGGAAGAAGGAGAAGGAGAAAGGGACAAGGAGGAGAAGGAGGAGAGGAGAGGGAGAAGGTGAAAAGGATGAGAGGAGAGGAAGGAGAAGGAGAAGAAAGAGACGGAGAGGAGAGGGAGGAAGAGGAGGAGAGGAGAGGGAGAAGAAGAGGGAGAAGGAGAAAGGGAGGAGAGGAGAGGGAGGAGAAGGAGAATAGGGAGGAGGAGGAAGAGAAGGAGAAGAGGGAGAAGAAGGAGAAGAGGGAGAAGGAGAAAGTGATGAGAGGAGAGGGAGGAGGACGAGAAGAGAGGGAGTAGGAGAGGGAGGAGAAGGAGAAGAGAGGGAGGAGGAGGAGGAGGAGGAAGAGAAGAGGAGGAGGAGGAGGAGTAACTAGAGAGAACGAAAAGAGACAGGAGAAAAACTCACAAAAATAAGCCATATTCATCCTGGATTTCTGGAAGGGAAAATGTAAGAGGAAATCAAAGGAAAAGACTCTGGCACAAGTCACACGTTGGGGGGCTGTCTGACCCCCCTCCCCCTTTGCGTTGCAGTGACTGGGACACCCCCAAAAGGAAGAAGAAGCTCAACCTGGACTTCAAGAAGCAATGGTCATCTCAGGACTCAGTCTCTTCGGAGTCTACGGACTCAGGTGAGGTTTGAGCGGGGTGGGACTGAATTCGAATCCGTGCCCTTCCAAACCGGGTCTTCTGTATCTTAGGGGACTTTCTGAAATTATAACAGACCCTCTCAACCGGGGGTTCTCCAAGCTGGGCGACTTTACACCCTGTGGACTACAACTCCCAGAATTCCCGAGCCGGTCTTGAGTTTGCTTATCGGAAGGTTGCAAAAAGGGGGGGGTGTCATGTGATCCCGGGACACCGCAGCAGTCGTAAATACAAGCCTGTTGCCAACCGTCCGAATATTGGTTGTGGCCATGGAGAAGCTGCAAACGTCGTAAGCGTGAGGAACGGCCATAAGTCAGATTTTTGGGGGAGAGTCATTGTAACCAGTCACTAAGCGAATTGTTGTAAGTCGAGGAGTATTTGTAATCACTGGAGGCTCTTTTTCTGCCGTGCAGGTGTTGGCCCGGACTACTCCCCCATGGAGACAGATGTGGAGATGTTTCCCGAGGATCTGTAAGTTAGCATGCTCGGCTGTGTGAGTTGCGTTGTTGGGCTGCGTTCACACACAAATGTATTTTGTTTTCCCTGCAAAACGTGAGAATGTTTGGGGACATAGGAGTTGAAGAATTTCTCTTTCTTTTCTTTCTTTCTTTCTTTCTTTCTTTCTTTCTTTCTTTCTTTCTTTCTTTCTTT